AAACTCTTTCCGTCGATGCTCTTCGTCTTCAATAGGTTTGTTGTACAGAGTTCACAATTGAAGTGAGGAAATGAAAGAGATTGTGTAAAATTGTTAGCGCCATTTTCAAATATGTGTTACTTCTACTTGAGGTTCCTTGTGGTTTGGCAGCAATCTCTTTGAAATTGCTGAAATAGTTTATCAGTCATGTGACTAATTTAACCGCGTTGTTATTTTCCGCAATATGGATCATTGTTTGGGATATTAGCGCGAAGGAGCATACGAGTTGCTTCGTGTGAGTTTCGATACTACAGAGATTGATATTCGCTTTGTTCCAGTATTGCTTCATGCGGCACCGAAAGGAAAGAGTTACGTTCACGTGATTACATTTTTACCCTACTTCATCGCCGTCAGACATCAACAGACTGCTGGTGATTAAGTCAGTTTCTCTGTCGCATGGCAGGCGCGTGCGATTTATTGCATCAGCCATAGATCAACAGAAAATGCCTGCCAAGGTGGGTTCAAAGTCTTAGTTGTAATTTCGATTTGTTTTGTAGTACTGGTACTGAGTATTGGTACTGAGTTTTCATTGATTCACTGACACAGACATGTTTGGAATGTTTGGTCGTTCTCGAAATTTCCTGAGAACCAGACATATTTAACAAAATTTAGAAAGAAATATTTAACAGATAATAGGCTTTGCGTTTTAAAAGCCATCCATTATGGGGAAGAGTCAACCACAGATTTGAATTAAGATCAACAGCTGAAAAGAATTCTTCCCTGTCGGTCAAAGTTTACAAACATTATTACTGCCACGTGGTCCTCTAGATTTTATTGGCTAAGACAAAACAAAACACTTAACCCTAATTGGCTTGTGTCCAGTACAATTGTTCAAATTGAAACGAAAGAGCGGCTAAAGACAATTGTTCCCAAGCCACCTCGTCTGCAATTGATATGCTAATATCATGAGTAATATCCATGCTTATTTGTTGTGCCATTTTCTTTCACAGGGATATCTAATCCTTCAAGCCCATATCAATGTGGAACAGGACAGTTTAACTGTACAAATGAAAAGTGCATTCCTGCTCATTGGCAGTGTGATAGAGAAAATGACTGTGGGGACCATTCAGATGAGGATGGTTGTCGTAAGTACACGACAATTAGACAGAATTTCATTACCAATGAACACATTTCATGTCTGAAAGCAGAAAACCTATATCAGGAATAAATGTGGGAAACTTGAAATCTGATGTCAGTGACAACCATGACCAGTGTTCACAAAAACTTGCATTTATAGCTCCTGAAGTTTCAGTTTCTCAGAAGTCGTGTTGGACTGGTATAAAAAATAAACAGGCATATCTCGTTGTTGAAGTAATTGTTGCATTGGTGTCGATATAGCTGACCAAACATGCCAAGCAAATGAATTCCGCTGCAACAATGGACGATGCATCTCACAGTCATGGTATTGTGATCAAGCTGATGATTGTAAAGATGGATCTGATGAACACGGATGTGGTATGTTAACAGATGAACAATGGTTATTTAACCTTTCAATCTTCTGGAGGGATTGACATTAAACTATTTTCTAACAATATAAAGAGGTAATGGATATGGACAAACATATCAGTCAAAGAGTGTAATCTAGATCCAATGCAAAACACTTTTCTCACAGAACATTTCAGGCACCACTACCCTGAAAGCAATTTGTTTCTTGTTGGGTAGTTCTGCTGTTGAAGGAGAAACCAACTGCTTTTAAGGCGAGATTAAGGCAGCTAGTAATTTCTAAACTTGTTCTGTTATTTACTTCTTTTTCAAGTTCACTAGCTTTCACATTGAATCTCATAATTGTCCTTAACTTTCATGACAGTTTACTGCATGAAAGTAGAATCAGATTCAGTCATTCTGGTTAAAGAGTCACATTAAATCCCCTGGCAGTTGGTTTCTCCTTCAACAGCAGAACTACGAGACAAGAAACAAATTGCTTTCAGGGTGGATAACTCCGGTCCGCACACTCATCCTTGCGACAACGACTTCAAAGCGTTTTAGACTGCGACAACGACTTCAAAGCGTTTTATACTTTTTCGAAAGTGTTCGTTTCACTAAACAATAGAAAATGGTTCCTTTTTTCTTGACAATTTTTGACTAAGAGCGACCTGAACCACGCTGGAATCAGAGACACGCCGGTAGCTGAATGAATGAATGAATGAATGAATGAATGAATGAGTGCGATGTTTTGTTGACCAACTGAGAGCGTGCTCACGCGCATTGTGCGGGAAAAGTGGCTGATGCAATAACACCACACTATCACATGCAGCTTACACATTTCATAATTTGGAGTGAGAAGGAGCGAACCAACATCTTAAACGAAAATCTCTTTGGCAAAAATGAATAGAAAAAAGTCTGTTTCTTTGTTGTAAAGTTTAAAATTAGCGACCTTATGTCCGATGTTTAGGTTATTTGTTTCCTTTCTTTTTCCTTTTGTTTTTTTTCTTTTTCTTTTTTTTGTCACGCCCTGTACATCTGGGTCAGGAAGAAAACGAAACAGTAAGTATTCGACTAGTCATGCCTGAGGACAGATTTCAGATTCCAACTAACACTTTATGAAAATTTCGTTTTCTAGCCAGTGTTCCTGTTGCTCATGAGAATTTTTCAGTGTTATAACTCACTCAGATGGTTGATACTCACATCTCATTATATTAATCGCAGGTGTGAATCTCGCTGAACCATAAATTAGAATATTTATTGGTAAAAACTAGA